TGTTAAAGACAGCAGATGGGTCGTATACGCCGGGGAGGCTATTGCTGAGAATGACATGCGCACGGAGATAATTGTTAGCTGTGGTCCGACACGCCGGGGAGTAAAAGTGTGGATCTCTGTCTCACGTTAGGTGGTTTCACAAGATAAGTAATGTTGACGTTAGGCGTAGAGTGTTGGGCAAAGAGGGAAAATCAATCGACGAGTTTATAAAGTTACATAGACTAAGATGGCTATGTCACGTGGTGCGCATGCCTAACCACCGCCTCCCCCGACGGGCATTGTTAGCTGATATAGGTTCAGGTTGGAAAAGAGCCAGTGGTGGCCAAACAAAAACATGGCATCAATCCATGAAATCCTTGACAGTTAAACTGAGTCAGGTAGAGAGATGCAGACTCCCGGGTTGGGGCCCTCGGGACTCTAGGAATCAATGGCTGGAGACAATAGGTGACATGGCTCAAAATCGTTGTCAATGGCGCAGATGTATTCAATCTCTGTAATCTTTCATATTCCTTTCTACCATTACCCATTCTGTTTCACTCCTATATTTGTCAAACTCTATTAATTCTCTCCACTCATCTTCTTGTCTACCTCTGTGTGCTATTTGGATCGTGGCAACTCGAACTGGTGCACTTCGGTGCCAAGTTCTATGTTGAATCCAGACAGACAAAAGTGTGGACGACTGAACTCGCATGCGTCACCGTTACTAGAGTTGAGGCAGAATGCGTGACAAGCGATTGCAGCGGTAATTGGTAGTGAGTAGATAGGAGGATGAGCGTATATTGAATCTCACCCCTAGAATAGAGCAGTCTGAGGGTGAAACGCAATCATTAATCACGAATAGGCCTCAGAGAGGTGGATATCGAGAAGGCTCCATGATGTCTAGTAATGCATATATACCTAGTGATTGTAATCTTAACGGTTTAGGAGACGTGACTTATAGCATCTCATATCTAATATATCAGCGTGTGTTTTAAGTAAACTTGTAAAATCACTACCCTTAAGGGACATTTCCTAAGAATAACTAGGAACACGATTGTAGTAGTTCTTCGGACATCTGTGATTGTCACTGTCCAGGTCTTACTACACTGGGCCTCACGCTGTCCTTGGAAGGCTTTCAAAAACTATGCGCAATAACTAACACGAAAAACTAGAACGCAAATTTTTGACTCAAGTACCGTGTATTCTTGCACCAATACAGAGCCAACCATTAAGTTATTGTACATGAAGTCTAAGAATAAATGTTATAACAATAAGCCAATAATACTTCCGATAGTTTTCTCTCTTCCGACGAACAGAGAACGATGAGACGATGACTGCCGTATTGATGACTCTCGCGAAAAATATGGAGTTGGGTTCGAGCTAACAACAATGAATTGATCGTTCAACCTTCAACTACATTGACAGTGACCAACCCCTGTACTCTGACACTGCCCGAAATTAACAGTTGTGATATACTTTGACAATCAACCTAAAGATGTACGTTTAACGGACTCATCAATGACTAAACTCCTCGACTCCATATGGTGTCATTTCCTGTAGGCCACACCAAGCGGTTACTGGGTTGCATCTACCGATCTCCCATCTGGAGGGCGCAACACAAAAAGCTACTGTCAGTACCATCACACGGATACGGATACTTTGACTATGACGAAATCAACAGATTAGGAAATTTCAGTGCCCCATCCCTGAACCTTGGCCCAGTGTACACTGAGGAAAAATTTGGTCTAAATCTACTACAAACCATAAGAAATACAAGACTGACTGGGGATGTTGGAGATGACTCTAGGTGGGGCCCTAGTGGAAAGTCATCGAAACTTAGTTATATTCTAACGGGTGACCAACCACTCGTCGAAAATTTCCAGGTAAAATCTCCAGTAGGAAGTAGTGACCACACAGCCATATGATTCCATCTTGTTCTCCATGAGTGCTTACCTTGAGATGCTAAGCGACCATGCCTGTGTTGTAGCAAGGCGGACTATGCTGGAATGAGAAGGTTGTTGTCTAACGCAGAATGGCCCTTAGAATGGAATGAGTTTTGTGTGAATGAACAGTGGGGATTGGTGAAGGAGATCATCCACACGGGAATCTCAGATAGTGTCCCTCTGGTCACAATACAGCCGGAAACAGGTCCTCGTGTCTGAAGAGACGTACGCAACGTATTCTGGAAGCAAAGCAGAAAGCTTGGTATATCTGGCGAATATTCGAGTGTCAGATCGACCACGATGCATACCTGGAACTCAGAAACCGGTGCAACACAAGAGACAACGAGTGACAAGAGCTCATTTCAGGCTTAACTTGTCAAAAAACTCCTGGCGTAATCAAAACCCTGTACCAAATCATGTTGGAGGGAAGACCAACCAGCCAGCGGGCATGTGCCTTGGCAGGTCTAAACAGTTAATACCTCACTAGTCTGAAAATGACCTAAAGATTGATTTTGGCCTTCTCCAAACAGTTAAACAGCTATATGGGCATTACTGGTACGGACAAAAATGGCGGCATTACTACTTTACTGGAAGAAAACCTAGTGGTTACCTAGTAAATAAACCCGTAAATAGTACTAGAGAAGCTGCAGAAAATTAGATCAGGAAGGTCCCCAGGTTGTGACAACATCAGGCCATCTACTACGAAACACTGCGCCGAAGCTTTCTGTGGGCCCTTATACAACTTGTTCCGCCAGTGAATGGATCGAGGGAAACTGCCAAGAGAGTGGAATAAAGCCATTCTTTCTCCGATCTTCAAGGGTGGGGATAGGCGAACTGCAGCCAGTCAGAGACCAGTAGCTCTACTCCCAGTGGTATAAAGAGTACAGGAAAGTATTATTGACGACCACATCACGGAATACCTCTATAGGTCTATTATATTGTATGAAGATCAACACGGTTTCAGGAAAGGCTAATCCTGCGTTACTAACTTACTATCAGCTTGGGTGGTTGGAAGTGGTCTTTCTAGACTTTGGGAAGGCATTTGACACAGTTCGCCATGAATTCCTCCAACACAAAATAGGCTAGACAGGTATGGGTAAGTGATATGTATCCACATATATATATATATGTGTGTATGGTGATCTCTCTTTCTGTTTGCTCTCTTAGTCTGTGACCATTTCACTTGTATGAACTTGTCTCCTTTAACAGTGTATATTCTCCTTATATTATATATAATATAATATGAGTGTTTGTTGACAGTCCGTTGCTTAGTGACATATATCCATATATGGTGGTTGTTGACATGTCTGCTACATTTCGCTATGTATATATGGATCGATACTTCATTATAATTAGCCATTCATGTTAAGACTGTCTAATGATTGTTCACACCTTTGTCTGGAACATTCATATATATTTCGCATTCACAATTTGTGTGACTTACACTTACTTATCCTTGGTGTGATACCACTTATTGCTGCTCCTTGTGTTGGAAATAGAAGTATCATCGCAAACCTAGTGGTCTTCTGATTTCCGCCTTCTTGTGTCAGGACTATTAGTTTCTCGACCAGTCCATAACAATAATTTGTCGACTAGTACATAACAACTTGGCGACGGGGAAAACTACTATTAACCACTCAACAGCAGCAACATTACAGTAAGCCACTTCTTTCATGGTTAAAGGACTACCTAGCTTACAGGCAATTTCTCACTGCGTTCAATCGAGTCCGATCATCTTGGCACAGCTCGTCATCAGCAGTGTCGCGGAGTTCTATCTTGGGACCACTGATGTCTTTGATTTTTATCACGGATCCACCATACACTCTAAGCCGTCCATTTCTTCTGAACGTTGATGATGTAAAGATATGGAGGGCGATTAAGTGTCCGGAAGACTCAGATAGGCTGCAAGCAGATCTAAAGCTTCTGGTAGGCTGGTCATTCGCATGACTTTCAACCTGAAAAGTGCAAATTAGTGCAATCATGCATATGTAGGCTGCAGAATGCAATGAAAGCTTGTCCTGCACAACGTCGGGGCGGGACTTAGGTCTGGTTCTAATGGAGAAAACGGACACAGGCGTAAATTACACAGGGGATGTAGCGAGGGCATATGCGGTCATACATTTACAAATAGACGGTCAGGTTCACTCACTGCCGAGCTATTTCTAAGATCGTAAAAGACATACGTCACACCACAACTTGAAGTCAGCAATACCATTTAAACCCACTTTTTTAAAGAGAGGCGAATTTTTTAGAAAGAGCCCAAAGATGAAAGGAGTGACAAATCTCCGAAACTAGCCGTATGATGAACGGCTAAAGAAATTAGGCCTCTTAAAACCTAGCTGCCATCAGCTTACGTGGGATATGAGTAGTGTCTATAAGATCACTAATCACCAGAATCACCCAAACAAATGTGTTCTGTCATTGAGTAGGCATGGGCTTCCCCGTGGAAATCCTAGAAGAAGTGCTCACCAGAAGGCAAAGACTCGGCTGCGCTCCCAATTTTTTCATCGCGGGTTTGCCGTCCCTGGAATTCCTTACCGACAGATGTGGCTACCGCACAATCTGTGAATATATTTGAAGGAATGCTGGACAATCATGCAGCGAAATAAGGACTGAGTGCGAACAGCCCGTCCCCCTCCAGATCCTATATACCACTAATGAATGGTTTTGATATTTTTGATTTTTTTATTATTTTTGATTTTTGATTTACAGCTTGATTCCACACTGTATTTTCGGTACAAGTATGGAATTTTCAGCATGGATATCGGTAGCCCAAATTTTGCAGGCCGACCATAGATATCAGGTGTGCGTCGGTGCGGGGTCGAACCCCGGACCATGTGCATGGACATCTAAACTCAATGTTTTACTTCTTTACACTGCCCTCTGACAACTCTAACTACTACACCTACACTTATAATTATTATTGATAATGTATACATGTATATATGCATAGATATTAACTTAAAATATAATTAGCTGCCTGGTTTTACGTTTTCTTTTTCCGAATAACATACACTAATAATATCTGTTATTATTATTATTATCTCTTTTTTGTCCACGACACCGGAGGACTAACTGGTCAAAGTATCAGCTCCATCCACAGTGGTAACAAAGTCTTAACACACCGCATACTACAAACAACAACACCGCTCCTTTCAGACACAACCAAAGGTACGAGAGTCGAGTGGAGAGACGAATAACGCTGTGCTTTACCGAAGACCAGGCAGCTTTACTTTACAATTAAGAAGTGAGCACAAACAAGTCAAACTGGTTTACACTGGATCATAAAAATGATTCTAAATTTTCAAATACCTGGCTCTGCAGTTTATTAACCACGGGTCGTAGAAACGATAATGGGTATTTGAAAAGTGGGGTATTTGAATTTCGTCGTACATGGACTTTGACTGAAATGGGTTTGCCATAGGGGAGTTACTTACCACTGGACGTTATACCTAATATACGTGTGTTTACGCAATTTCCCCCGTTATATATCTTGAAAGTGAGTAAGTTTATTTTTACTCACTATTTTATCTATATAAATGACTTGTTCGGAATAATTTTGTGATGTCCTTTCGTTTGTTCTAACCACATAAGGGTATAATAAGGTAACTGCCTTCACTATTAAAATACCTTTAATTGTTGTATTGGATGCAGTAGTCCACCAGTTATTGTCTTAACATAAGCCAGGTAAATCACCTTTTTATGGTAAATGAATATATATTCAGTTACCATCAAAGGTCATTATCGACGCACAAGTTAGAATGGGTTTAGAATTATTGTAAACTTGGGCGGTCTGTAAGGCTAAATTGCATTATGGCAAAGGTACTTGGAACAATAATAAGAGATCAGCTCTTAGCCCATATGGAGAAACATGATTTACTGACGGTGGAACAGAACGATCATGCCTGACAAACATACTTTTGCTTAGGGAAGATTAAGTCGAAGACGGGAATAAGTACCTTTTGTTAAACGTCGTTTACATCGATCTTAGTAAAGCATTCGTTAAAGTATCCTATACGGTTTTGGATTAAACCAACGCGTATATGAGTAGTCTAGAGACTACCTAGTGGATAGAAGGCTAAAGGTAAGGATTGATAGTGTACTGCCAGGATGGAAAGCAGTACTGAGTGGAGCACCTCAGGGAACTGTACTAGGCCCCCTGTTATTCCAAATTACCGATGATTCTTACCTGATAATATATGTGTAAAACTTGGGCACTGTGGTAATAAGTAATTCCATATTAGTTTGTTTATTAAATGTATCACACAATGAAACAGTATTTTATACTGGTTGACGTTTCGAACACAATTTATTGTTCATAATCATATCAATTTTTGTCACACGACTTCGAGATTTGATTTATATAGTTTTTTCTGTCTTCTCCTATTTGTTGTATGGGCAGTAGAATTTTCCATATATCTGGGACAGGTGTTGAATCATTCCTATTACATGTATTTGCAGTTGATTCGATAAACAAAGCTTCTGTTATCAATCTCTCCCTATACCCTGTAACATTAGATTTTAAGGCTGCCATCCTATCCCATCCTATTGTATGGTTGTGTGTAACTGCATGTAGTGCTATAGCTGAACTACTCTCTAGATTTCTTATCTTATTCGGGTCAGCCAGTCTAGATTTAGCTAGGTTTTTATGTTCGGCTAGCCTGACTGCCCCTGTTCTACTAGTTTGACCTATGTATTTGACCTCACAATCATTGCAGGGTATTAGATGTCTGTCTGTCTGTCTGGATTCAACATAGAACTTGGCACCGAAGTGCAGCAGTTCGAGTTGCCACGTTCCAAATAGCACACAGAGGTAGACAAGAAGATGAGTGAAGAGAATCAATAGAGTTTGACAAGTATAAGAGTGAAACAGAATGGGTAATGGTAGAGAGGAATATGAAAGATTACAGAGATTGAATACATCTGTGCCAGGGTATTAGATAAACTAAATTGTTTTGTTTTAATGGCTCTATAGGATCCTTTAACTGACAAAGCTTGTTTCTAATTGAGTTTGTGGGTTTGAATGCCACTTTTATTCCTGCCTTGTTAAGAATTCTGCGTAAGGCCTCCGAGGTTCCTTCTTTGTATGGAATTGTTCTTGATGATTTACATTCCTTATTGTTGGTGTCGTTATTAATACTATTATTATTATCATCACTATTATTATATTATTACACGCCGTACTCCTTGGAGGTCACAGAACTACCAGTTGTTATGGGACAAAAGGACTTAGGAATTATTTTCAGTCATGACTTGGAAACAATCGCAAAATGTAATACAGCCGCAGACAAGGCTTTCGAATATTGTGGGCACTACAAAGGGTTTTTAAATGGTTAAACTAATCTATGTTCCAAGTACCCTATGCAATATGTGTTAGGCCTCACCTAGATTACTGCACACAAACGATGAGTTCATGCTTCGAAAAGGGGGTACATATCTCGGAAAGAATACAGAGGGTAGGAACCAAATGAGTCATCGGTATCTCACACCTAATGAGAAGATAGGGCAATAGTAAATAGTAGACTCAACCAATAAGATGGCTACGCATAACACATGGATGTTCATAATCTTCGATGCAATTTTCACGCAGATGTTTTACTAGGCATTATATGACTAGTCCTCCATTCATACCATTCATACACTTGAGTGGATAGGTTATCAGCAATTATTACCATTAGACTATATTCATCATAAAATCAATCATACTTCTAAATTAGTAGATCCTGTAGGTGGAACTCATACAAATTCTGTTGGGTGATTCTAGGTCCATCTAAAAAAAGTGGTAAATGGTTCTCGATATGATATGATATACAACCACGTAGATATTTCGTATTGACATTGGTTTGATGCGTCTACAAACACTCCTATGGGAAACTGGAACCAGTTTTAACGGCATCTTAGAGATATATATCCTGTATAATTCAGTTTTATGACATCTATTTCATCAATACACTTTAAAAAAATAAATGTCACTTTCACCTAAAAGAATATAATTGGTAGATTCAAGGTCATTTGGATTTGGTGTCTATTCTTTACTGTTGCCCAGGATGGAGCATTATCATACCGAAGGAGGAAAGGCGACTTAATTTTGTCATACCTTATATTACAGGTTGATTTAGAGACTGACTTTCATAATCTCTCCCTTTAGGGTACATCTACAAGGTCACCATACATAGTTGCCTAAATGGAGGACGAATAGAATACGTGTGGAAGTGTTAGATTGTCTCACAGAGTGGTCAACGACTTGCACTCCCTACCTGGTTCAATGGTAAAAGCTCCATCAGTGAACACTTAAATAGAAATTAGATCTCTGCAGAGCTACATACTGTAAGGACTAACACAAGCCACAAGGGCGTACTATCCTTAGTATCTGAATCTAATTCTGTATGACAAAATGAATCCTTTATTTAAAATGAACTCTGGTATTCTGTAATGCTTCATGATTTTCTCCAAGAACACTGTATATAGTAAACGTATAGATATGTTTACGGGACTGTACTCAAAATAATGCCTCTATGTAATGTGTTCAAATATTCGGATGGTTTTAGTCCATCCTAGCAAAATTGTCTAGTTGCTCAGCTATGTTATGGATTACTCTACTGTATCTCAAGCTGACGATAAAGCTTTTTTGTATACTGAGTGAGTGTGGAAATTGAACAGATTTTCTTTAGTACTTCCTTAACCCCATTTTACTGTTCCAACAGCGAGTACAGCGCCGATTATTTCCGCCTAGACCGGTTGTATCATTCATTTGTACTGTTCGGCATTCGTGTAAACTTATTACTCATCCCCAACCCAGGTTGCCTATGTAATTCTTTATCGTCATTTCCAGAGTAGTTGTAAAGTTCTATAAGTTGTGATATTTGCTAATGGGAATATAACCCTATTCATCTTATTACCATTGTAAGCACTAAACACTAAGAAGGAAGAGCTATGAGAAAGTGAATGGAATTAAGGGGCAATAAAAGTTGACTATAGATCATGGTACTCTGATTTAGTTCTTTAATATACGCACCCCTCCAAAAAAAGCAGTTACGCTGTCGAAATTACCCTGTATATACTTCTTTTATTAACCCCAATCAATCCATTATTCACATACTCGGTCTTTCTTAGAGTTGCTAAGCACATCCAGAACAGAAGACACATTTCAGTTTAGTCATACTATCAGTAAGGCTTCTAAAAGAACACCGCATACATTTCATACTTAGTAGTTTTGGAACTGACTATGTTAAACATGTTCTCAAAATATTCTTATTATGTGAATTAATAGTAATATTGACAACCCTTTTTTCCTGATTGATTTACCAGCACAGAAGTTCGTAAGGAGGTGCATTAATTCAACTTTACACTTTGAGATTTATATTTTTATTATAGCTTGATTCCACACCGTATTTTTGGTACAAGTATGGAATTTTCAGCATGTGATATCGGTAGCCCTAATTTCGCAGGTTGACCATAGATATCAGGTGTGCGTCGGCGTAGTAGTTAGTATAAAAAGATACAAAGGACAAAAATAAGCTAGGATAAAATAATTAGATGAATATTAGTTAGTGGAGTAGATATCTAGATCAGGTTAATGATATTGAATTAGTTGTGTTTTCTGAGCTGCTTGATTTAATTGCAAAACTTTCGTCATCAGTTAGCATCTTCAAAATCTGAAAGAAGATGAGAGGTGAATATATGTTATCTTACGAGTAAATGTTAGAATCTCTATGAACTTCCTAAACTGTTAGATGTTCCTTTGGACACTTTCTTAAAAATGACTCCAGCATTATGTGTTGTTGTGTTAGTTGCGAATGTCACTGATTTTCCACTTGGTTTTACTTTGATGCAGCACACTTAAAACTGGCAAAGAAAAACAAAATTATGGTATTTAAGTGTTCTCAGCTATGAATTCCAGTGCATAGTGTTCAAAAAGATAGTGACTATACCTAAGACGTACTCGGCTTGACTAGATGCTTTAATAATACTAATCTAGACAACAGACACGCGCACCTAAAAAGTACATATTCAAGCTGAGCAGTAAGTCGGTAGTACGGCTGTTATGTGTTTCTTACAAAATATTCTGTACATAAAACATTTGTACCAATAAAAAAATATGATACAGGTATGCCTCCGCGTTTGTACTGAGACATATATACAAGTATTCATGCATCAAATCCAAGAATGTAGATTTTAATTGTATTCTGGTGTTCCCACTAGTATACTTCATCATTTGGAATAAATATCACCACACAGACGTTCACCTTTTTAAAAAGTTTGCGAATTACTGTAGCACGTATAATGCTAAATATCCAAAAATAGCCTTGGAAAATACTTATCCGAATACTTGCTTAGAGGTCTGACGATTTAGAACTCATTTAAAAAAATCTATATTCTTCTTATCTCCAAAGTAGGGAAATTGTGTCAATCTGAGAAGGATGTCGGTGGCACCTATGGAACTCCGTGCCAGCGAACCGACAACGGTGACCGTCTCCTACAGTTCTGCTCTGATAATCATTTGTTTCTTGTAAGCACTAACTTTAAACACAAGGAGAGACACTGTTTGACTTGGAGACCCCCTTCATCAAACCAACGCTGGACACAAATAGACCACATAGCAATAAGCTATCGTTGGCGTGGGTCGGTAGGAGATTGTCGCTCCTTCTGGAACACGTGCGTAGATACCGACCATGCACTGGTCCGCGCTCGGGTGTGCTTACGACTGAACGGACGTAGGAAACAGCTGGCGGTAAAACCATCACGTCCCCAGCTCGATCAGGAAACTAAATCCGTATTTGAGGAAGAACTAGCTAAACACATATCTGTGTTCGACAGCTGTGCTCACCCTGAAGAAGCTTGGAAAAATATCCAGGCAGCCATAGATACAGCTGTAAAAGCTGTGAATAAGGTAAACCCAAAGGTGAGTAAAAACCACTGGATCTCCACCGCCTCATCCGAACTGATAGATGCTAGAAGACTTATTCCGGCGAGCTCCGAATTCAATGAGGAGCGAAAGCTGCACAAGAGGAAACTTACGAAAAGTCTCCGCAAGGACCGTGAACAGTGGTGGGCGACAAAAGCCAAAGAGATGGAGAAAGCTTCGAGGATAGGCAACACCAGGCAACTCTTTAGACTCATCAGGGAAACGGGTGGGAGAAGACAAATCATCAGTGAGACAATCTCGGAAAAAAATGGCACTATAATTAGCTCCCAGGATAGACGACTGGATCGTTGGAAAGAGCATTATGAGGAGCAGTTTAATTTGCCCACAGCCACGCTCAACCTTCCGAGCATCCAACACCTCCCTGAATGGGATATAAACACAGGTCCTCCGTCACTAACTGAGGTTACTAAAGCTGTCACCAATCTGAAACTAGGCAAAGCAGCGGGACCTGATGGAATGACTCCAGAGGTATTTAAGTACGGTGGAGACAGCTTACTGTCCGGATTAACTGAGGTACTAGGCAGCGTCTGGGAATCAGAAGAAGTCCCATCGGGTTGGTGTAAGTCACTGATTATCCCCATATACAAGAAGGGAGACAAGTCTTCCTGTGATAATCACAGAGGGATTAGCTTGACTAATATAGTATCTAAAGTCTTAGGCTCAATAATCATGCGTAGACTGAGTGGTGCTCGGGAAGCACAAACACGAGAGAGCCAGGCAGGCTTTAGACCAGGAAGAGGGTGTATTGATCATATCTTCACCCTCCGACAGATTCTAGAACATAGGCATTCCTACCGGCGTCCAACAGTCATTATATTTCTTGACCTAAAGGCAGCATTCGACTCTGTCGATCGGGAAGTTCTCTGGAGATGCTTGGCTGTAAAGGGAATTCCGAGAAAATATATTGCACTGATTAAGGCACTCTACTCGTACTCATACAGCCAGGTGAGGGCTTACGGCGAGCTGTCATCTGAACTGATGACGACCAGTGGTGTCCGTCAAGGATGCCCATTATCTCCTTTTCTATTCAACTTCATCATAGATGTGTTAATGGACTTAACCCTAGGTGACTTCAGCGACTCAGGGATTGACTTGCTACCGGGAATAATCTCGTTGACTTGGAATATGCAGACGATATAGTCCTTCTAGGCGAAGACGCTGACGAAATGCAGAGTCTTCTAAACACCTTGAACCGCAATCTACGAATGTTTGGCATGCGATTCGCTCCCGCCAAATGCAAGATGATGTTACAGGACTGGACTACATCGACGCCTAGTTTAAAAATAGGAAGTGAAGTGGTAGAGCACGTTGACCGCTTCACTTATTTGGGAAGTACCATCAGCCCCAACGGGCTGATCTCTGACGAAATCTCAGCACGAATACAAGGGGCTCGTTTCGCATTTGTTAGTTTACGCCGACTCTGGCGTAGACGAGATGTTCGACTATCGACCAAAGGGCGGGTGTACTGCTCATCAGTCCGCTCCGTCCTCCTTTATGGTTGTGAGACCTGGCCACTGAGAGTGGAAGACATGAAAAGACTAGCTGTCTTTGATCATAGGTGCCTGCGTTCTATTTCCCGTGTAAAGTGGCATAATAAGGTGAGCAACATGGAGGTTAGGCGTAGAGTTCTAGGTAAACAGGGGAAATCAATCGACGAAGTCGTGAAGCTACATCGACTGAGATGGTTAGGACATGTGTTACGTATGCCAAGCCATCGCCTCCCTCGACGAGCTATGTTAGCGGATATAGGGTCAGGCTGGAAAAAAGCTAGCGGCGGTCAAACAAAAACTTGGCATCAGTCAATGAAATCCACAACAGTTGGTCTAAGCCACGTAGGAAGGTGTAGACTTCCAGGCTGGGGTCCTCGGGACGGTAAAAATCTATGGTTGGAAACAATTGGTGACATGGCTCAAAATCGTTCTCAGTGGCGCAGATGCATCCACTCCCTGTGACTTATGATCTTCAATGAAACTGTTTTGTATTTCTTTATTACTCCTTTGTCTCACACCTCTGCTCACTGTTTCTATTATGCTTTTCTTGTACTTTCTTCTCTTGCTTCGCGTGCTACACGGAATGTGGCGACTTGAACTTCCGCACATTTGTGCAAAGTTCTATGTCGAAAACAGACAGACAGACTTATCTCCAAAGTGATATAATTTGGATGAAATTGACATGGAAATCAGCGGTTAGAGTAGAGTTAAGAAGAAAACTAAAGTAGATGTCACATGTACTTGATTTCCTTCACACCCTGCTGGTTTACGACATTATAATTTGCGAACAGTCGTTCATCAACTCTAATATTCACACAAGCAACTTTATTTAAAATAAGCATACCATTTGAATAGAAGTATGTTACCTTTCAGGACTGACTAACCTAACTTGGGATTTTACCAGATACTTCACAAAATGATAACGAATGACAAACTTATCCGATATATGTGATTTAATATATCCTACTCTGTTATTTGTAGGAAATGCATTAGTCAGACATTTCTTAAGTGGTTTCTCGTGCAGTTCGTTTTGCAATACATAACTCCCGAAAAGAATTTATATTTGTTTACAATAATCCTATGACTAGAATCAGGTTGATACCGACACAATAATTGTTTCCAAGTGGTGAAAGACAATACAGCTTGTATCCATGTCAAAAGTTGTAGTTACATATACGAGAATGTTCGGCTTTTGTACATGTGAATCTTACGCTGTGACATCTTACAAAGCAATACAACTTGCAGCGTATTCATATGCTCGAACTGTTTTTGTAGTATCCCACAGTTATGAAGGAATGCTTCGTACGAAGCCTGAGAATCTCGTTATTACGTTGAAGTCAAGTAAGTTGAATGTGATGTCTTTATCAGACACCACATGGTTCCCTTACCGCATAGTTTGTCTCATCAAAAACCCTATGTAACATCGTTTTCACGTGAAGAACTTTTTGCTAGAAACTGAAAAATTTAATTGCTCGTCATAAAGTTTAGATTGACAATTATTATTTGTCAATACGTTCAGCTATGCCTTGCTATAGGGTGAAGTTGAACGCACTAATGAACAAGCCGAGAACCAATCTGCTTCCCATAGGTTTTCTCTCTATAAGTCCTGGCTGTCAAATAATTATAAAACTTGATGTCCTCGAAAATTTTGATAAGACAGAACTCTGTTCTCATTTAAATTAGGACAAACAAAGAGCACTCTTCACAAAAACCCAGGCACCTAAATAGTTACTTCAGTCAGTTTAACGAAGTTTCGAGTCACTAACTTTATGTATCTCAATAAGACTCATCGTCTCTTCTGACTTTAAGCAACAGAGAACTAAAAATCGAAGAGTTCACTGTCTTATTAGTTTCTCATTCATGCTGCAACTGAATGTGCCGCAGTTGAGTTATTCTCCCACGTTTTCTGCGAGAAGAATCATTTCCATGACGTACTGAATTAAGCACCTGATTTTCAAGTAATAAGTCTGTGCAGCTCTTTAGAAAACGGATTCTCGTGTACTCTGTGGCAAGCTTGACATAAAACTTAAGAGACGCATCAAATTCTTTCACTGTCACAAAGTTCTCGCTCTTCCTCAAATCACCGAAAATACTCATTGGGTCATGAAGAAAATAAAAGACAAATTCGGCGAATAAAATTTTCTTTACCGACAAATTCATCTTCATAGGTTGTACAGTCGTATTTATATTTACCAAAAATGTATAGTTGTCTATTTTTAAATAGTAGGGGTTGACATAATTGATATAATTACTCAAAAGTGGCTTTAGAAGTAAAAACAAAGTTGTAAATTACGTGTCAGTGACTATGAATGACAATCCTCCGACGGCCTCCACACAACACACTGTTCAACCTACATAATTGTCAAAGTGTACATATCCTTTTGACATATACGTTACATAAATCAGTACAGTTTTTCATGCAAGCCATAATAGTACGACGAAATGTTACTGACGTAGGAGTTTGTCAAGAGTAAAAATGAAGACGACTAAGGCATCAACGGATATATAATGATAGGGATTAAATGTTTTGTTCGTTGGGTCAGTATAGAGATAATAGCAGTTCTATTTGCATGAAATTCGCAGACCCAATGTGGTTTGTTTCTACCTATGCTAAATGCCTATAAAGATCGCAGCTTCAAACAAGTGTATTAAGAGACTGGCTTTTCCATAAGTCTGTGATAGTTTGATTCCATAAAAACTACACATATCCAACAAGGCAAGTATTCCCAAAATTCAGTGTTTAGTTTTCATTTGAAAAAATTCCTTATCTGCTACGTTAATGCTTATGTAAAATTATTCAATTTTTCTCATTTAAATACATTTCCCATAGTTTTGAACATCTTATCTGAGCAATGTCCACAAAAGCTAGACGACGACTTATGAATGATTTCAAGAAGATCCAACTTGATCCTCCACCAGGAGTCTATGCAGTTCCACTTGACGATAATATAATGAAGTGGCACGCAATTATTTTGGGCCCTGATGGCACAGCGTTTGCAGATGGTATTTTCAGATTAACTATGGAGTTTACGGAAAGTTATCCTAATGTTCCGCCGATCGTTCGATTTGTATCCAAAATGTTCCATCCCAATGTGTATACTGATGGCAGTATATGCTTAGACATATTACAAAACATGTGGTCTCCGTCGTACAATATCGGAGCTATTTTAACTTCGTTACAGTCTCTCCTGGGTGACCCAAATCCTAACTCTCCTGCCAACACAGCAGCAGCAGAATTATTTGAGGAAGACAAACGACAATATGAAACCCAGGTGCGGGCGATTGTTGAAGAGTCATGGCGGGACGACGGACCTGTGGACTGATATTCTTTTGTATTTAAATGCCTTTGATTTATACAAATGTAAATAATATTTTTCTTGACAAAACTAAGCACTTATATGCTGTGACAGTCCTAACTGTCAGATTTTTTAATAATAGCGTGGGTAGATATATGTTGTGTACTATGACTAAATGCGGTCACAGACTTCATAAAAATGTAAACTCTTGCGAGTATGTTGTCACATATTACGGACTATATTTGGTCGACTTGAAAAAATAACTAGACAATAAAGTTTGATCAATAAATTCCATCGAAGTGTGCAGTGTATTGATAAAATATATTCAGATCTAAATAATGACGAGTAAACTCGTTAATATAGGTACCAAAAGTAACTATCATTAAACACAATATTCTCATACGTTCTTGTTAATAACATACCTAAGGCTACTTGATTGTTTTAAGTAAAGATAACAGGTTTAGAAGAGTGCGGACCTCAGATACTTAGTCGCTCAACTAAAAGATGTTACCACATTTATTCTACTGCCCTAGTGCATGTTCGTCTAGTAAGTGAAATTTGTCTTATCCTTAGTCGAATGGAAATGTACGTGAGGCACATAACTAAGGACGTTGGCGATTGTGCGTTGCTGACACTGGTTTTGTTGGCCTAAATGTTCCCAGGCATATGTGACATCATAATTCTATAATCGTAATAATAAGCACTTTAGTAATTAAGAAGGTAAGTGTAACATATCTGTTAGATCAAAAACACAAGTAATCTTAGTTCTCGAAGACTAATTTAACCCATTTATCACGCGTAAATATTTTCCATGTATTAACACAGTTTACCTAGTGTTTCAAATGAACTTTCAGAAAAAATCTGAGCTTTTAGTTGTGAGTGTAAATGACATACATTTTGCTATTGAACTTACTTTCATGTGCACTTAGATCCATTTATATTAGATAAGTTTGAATCGCTTTACCTTTGGTCATTAAGTATAGGTGTACGTAAGTTGGAACGTACATTCAAGTTGTTCATGTTGATATCAAAGGCTTATTTTGAATGCCGAATATCGATTTTTTTTAAATCAACTCATCAGTCCCAATAATCATTTTTCTCTTAAGTTTATCGACGTGAGAAACAAAGCTACCGACTAATATTTTCACATTTAGCAATTAACAAGAAAGTCAGCTGTTCTGCCTCTTCAGACTGATTTTTGTTCATAACGATGATATAAAATATGTGATTATAAGTTTAGCATGCTGATAGAAATCACACGTTGTGCGAAACATCACTTAGGTGACAGTTGTACATTTGGCGAGTCGACTTATTCTCACAGAACACCAATTAGTTTTCCTAACGAGAATATCACCGTCTACTAAATTTTGAATAGGTAATGGCGGGTATTATGAAATATTCAAGGTGAATAAGAGGGGCATTTCCGGAAACACCAACTAAAGATAATCATGGTATGCATCCACTAGCTAATATTATGACTCCGCAACTCTTCAGTTTATGAACGGAATCAGTTATTGGATAAAATACATGAGTACAAGATACGAAACCAAAAGTTGAATGAGGAGAACTGAAGATCACTAGGTACAGACAGTGCTTCACTTGCAAACAGAAATTGAAAAACTAAGAATGATAACTACACTGTGGGACTTATGTAAGTGACTGCGTAAATCTATTTGGCAGAGAAGTTTAGTACGGTATACAGCTACTATTTTGTGCAGATCGTCTTTTATCATTTTTCTGGATAACTGGTTCAGCAGCTGCACAAAGCCCCTTGGAAGCAAAAGACTCGTCGTTTAAAACATACCAACTTTCGAATGTACGACCATCCACAGAATTTCTTAAATAAATAAAACTAAAAGGAATTTGTGACTGTTAACTCTGAAGCAATTTTTGACCAATACTTTTATGCTCATGTCTTGAAGGTATTATAGTTGCATTCTTTCTAGATGTGGCGTTTCATCATTACTCGAATCTGCAGGGAGAAGCGAAAATAAATAAATAGCCTACCATATTCTTTGGTGACACTAGAGATTACTTTACCGATTCAGTTAATGTCGCTAGGTTGGAGACCACATACTGTCTGAACTATATATATATATATATATATATATATATGTCGACAACTGAGAGGTGGGATGCTCGCCTACCATGCATTTGATCCTTGGTTTGATTCCCTATCAACGCACACCTTTACCTCCCCCAGCCGGTTGTAAGCCCGACAAAGATAAAGGAGGTTGGGTGTGAGGCTAGCAACTTCACCCGGTAAAAAATAACACTTCTGCTACTGAAACTTCACAGCTCAAACCTGAAGCTCTATGTTTCGATCGGAACGCAAAGGAATAAAATCTTGAATATAAATCGGTCAACAAAGGAGTTTACGATACAAAGGATGAACGGTTCTCTACAAACTGGAATAACAAGTCTCATTAGTGCATGATTCACGTTTCACTATGAGGAAATACGACACAATTAAGTATTAAGTGGCACCTAAGGAATTATTATAAGACTGAATCAAGGATGAAAAACGGACTACAACACAACCCGCAATATTTCTAAGTCTCATAAGTGGTAACTTTATCTCCTCGTACCAATTTCCTGGTATAACAAAGACGAAAGTGAGTATGAGTCGGCGTCGTATATATTCAGCGATAGCTGATACTGTTAAAACACCTTGACACTATTTTCATTTTCGGTGGGTCTAAGTAGACCATGAATAAACAATATCAAATGATTTAAATCTACAAAGCACGTTGTTAATATACACATATGGCGGATAATAGGAAAACTGATACTATGAAGTCCAATGAGACACAGTTATGAATTGGTAAAAAAGAAAAAGCCTCAACATAAACGCGTAAATTCATGACAAGTTCATCTGAAAAACGTTATAACAAGGATCACAGCACATGTAAGCTTAAATGTTGATTAAATCATATATCCTATAACCCCTTGGGGTTAAGTAGATTTTTGTTGACGCGTAAGAAATAACTGACGTGCATGAGACAAAAGGGCTTCACGACGTTCATTTAGGCTTAACTGACGTGCATTAGAATTTGGTAGAAATTGTGGAGCAGCGACATTAAGCCTACTTGGGGATAAAATACCTGCTTCACCACCAAGGCCGTTTACATTTCGTTGAGAGCCAAATTCATTTGAGTTTTCTAAAAGTGAACTAATCGCTGATTCCACGTCACCATGAGTACACACTAAATAAAAACAGAATAAACAATATATGAACAACTAGATAAGTCTACGGTTTTTGTTTTGATTTAATTTACTACTAGACTTAAGTATTTCCAAATTAGGAAACAGATCAAGAATAATCGATTCTAATAGTACAGAAACTTATAATTTATCACATTAAAGAGATGTGCGACTATAGAGTTTCATTACTGTCAGAGGCAACTGAAACACTTCTGAATCCATAAACAAAAATGGATGGGTAGCTGTACTCACTGGCAATTTTATAAAATAACTACTAAAATTATAATGAAGTGATAATACTAGTAAGAGTTGAACCTATGTGAATGATTATAGCACTAATCTGTAGAACAAGGTTCAAACACTGAAGCCATTCTTCGAAAACTTAGTGCTCAGGTTAACAGAATACTCCTAAAGGTTACACAGATGCAAAAAGAAGAATACTAGCATGCATACACTAATCACCAACAGATTCAATAGATATCATGTGGTTACTACGTTTAACGAAAAAGAAATGAATGCTATTAAAAACACTGTGTCTACCTGATGTCAGTTTGTGACCAACACTGATGCCTATCAAGACTCTTCTTCTGATCAAAACTTATTTACTTACCGAGAGCTTCACGGATACGCGACACAGGAACATCACGAAGAATCTCACTAATTCTGGGTACCAGATGTTCAAAAGCAAAATCAGAATTTTCATCGGTTTCATGATTTGATGATTTACCAACTACACGGAAACGAACTCCATCACGTGAAGAGTTTGGTGACGAGAGTGCTTCACTTGACGAACTGGTAGAATGCTTTCTCGATAGAGATAAACTTCGAGGTGTTGTTGACACACTGGACACTGAAGGAGAGCGAACGTTTGCAAGAGATGTTATCTGTGATTCTGTTCCAGAGTACTGAAAATAAAGTATATTCACAGAAAAAAATATTAGCACTGATCGAGTAACACTAATTACAAATGAAAATAACAGATTCTTGTGTCTACAAGGAACAATTGTTGTGCACTGTTTTCAAAACAGGAAATTGACATATTACATATCAACAACTTCAATCAAATACACAGTTTATATTTCTTTTTTAATAATACTACTATGAAATAATGTGATGGGTGGAATTTGAATTATCCCTAAAATCCACGATTCACACAAAACAAATTTTATTTCAAAAGTGATTTACGTAGAGGATTTATACGAAGGTATTACAGTTTAATTCACTACACTTTTTGAGATAGTGCAACACATAGAATGGGTGAAACCAAAAAAAACATTACAATAAACAAGGATATGATAGGAAGAGAGATCACCAGTCGGATACAGTTAAGTATTTGTAGTTTTTGTCTAACCAGACAACTCGAATAACAAAAGACTTGGAACTGATACAAACTGAAAACTTCCAACGTTTGAGAACGAAATAAAGCTAATTTAAGTGTTGGTTTGTAGGGATTTGATTGGTTTCAGTATTTCATCATGAGCTGGTATTAGTTAGAGAACCATTGGAAAACCTGAGAGTACTGGACAGCTGTTTCGTCCTAGTTTGGGATCCTTCAGCAGTACGTACCCACTGGGATTCGAACCCAGAACCTTCTGGTTACAAGGAGAGCTCGTATACCATTAAGCCACCGGGGCCTGATCCAATGGCCCATGGATTCTAACTTCTGCCAATTCACGACATAGCGCAACGTCTAATCTAAGTAACGAATGGTTCATTACTACTGATCGAATGAAATGACAGGAATTCAAAATGGTCTTAACACTTACCTCAACAAGCTGCTCAGCGCTTATTGAACTAACAGTGGCTCCAAGTGATCTGGCGATAGCGCAACGAACTCTTTCGCAGAAATCAGCATCGACTTCATCAGATATACGACAAACAGGTGGTAAGTATTTGATATTGTAATACGTGAAAGGTGTGAATAACTGCCATAACAACTCTGTCAATTTAGAAACAGGGTGAACAACCTAAAAACAAAAGGTTGATAAATTATTATAAGATACAATGAAAACAAAAAAATGGCCTTTTTGTTTACACTATTACTCCAGGAAAAGCATCAACACCAAACATTTTGTGTTAAAACCCAAACTCAATCAGCAACTTCCTCACTAAAAACTAAATAGATAGAGAAAATTCGAGATGAAAATTCAGATCTTGTACGAGAACGAAACGACTAATTGCATGGCATTATTATAAACATGTTGACTTATATCAGTTGAAAAAAATATCTCCTATGACTTTTTTGAAATTTAGACGATTCAATTACTGACTAGAACACAAGTAAATCCAGCTGAGTACCATATATATTTAGAGAAACCTCCGTTCTGGACTTCACTGCTATACATAATACAGCAAAAACACTACAAAAATAATCTTGAAGTTGTGCTGGGTTTTGGTGACGATGGACCAGGGACCACATCTGAACATCTTACATCGTGCTAAAATATCAGATGTTAGGGCAATCTTAACACACAAAATATGCTACTTGATTGCGTTCTTTAGGTCAGCTATCGTATTGACAATGACACATAGATTTTAATTGGTCTGAGAGACGAAGCGGTCACCATTAGACAACTTATTTGTGTCCCTTATGAGTACATGGAAAATATAAGATCCGAAAGTGTTCACAGGATAATTGTATCATACTGGAACTTGTTGGCGTATCACAATCCTCATGAGGCAACAGTTTAGATGCTGATCAACACAGTGTCATGTTGAATAATACTGAGGATTGGGTTGAGAGCACACTGAATTGTAATTAAGTTTTTCATTTCTGAAATGTAGCACCAAAGTTTAAAAAATCTATTTTATGAGTGCATCACATGCAACTACTACTTATTGATTTATTTTCCATCCACCTCTTTCTTATTCATGCTATTTAATAATACTGCTGTACTAAACTACGCGATGTATTTATGAACTGTATCAAGCAGACAGAAAAGTATAACCTCTATCAGTGTTGTATACAAATTTCACTTCTTACACTTTGTTACAGCACAATAAAGAGGAATAAAAAAAGCATTAAATAATTTATTGGTGATAGTGAACCAACAGAATACAAGCTAAAATAACAGATAAAGTAAAGACATTTACAGCACTGACACCGTCAACAAACATCACTATAATAAATGGAAATCATCAAAACAATTCACCGTTAGTGAATAGATGATAAAAATGAGCTTCATCGGAAAAAAGAGTACTCCGTCTAATATCTTCAGCAGATCCATCCTGGAAAAGTAACATACGATATCTCCAACTACGAAGTTTTCTCTCATTAAACTTTAAGAACGACAACTTACCAGATTTTTTAATTTATTTCATCAAAGCAAACTTGATAGAAAATGGGCACTAAGAGATGTAATACACAACGACAAAATAATACAAGGTGGGGAGATAAAATAATTGACGAACGGTAGGAACATAGCCATGAAGAGAATTTAAAGGAGAGCTCATTACAACAACATACTACTAGAAAGGAAACAAAGAAGGGAACTACAACATGCTCATGACTTATTTACATTCTGAGCCATATGTGATAACATCTAGAGACACTGAGCTCCGTGATATCTTGGATACTTATGCATACAGGGATGGTAATCACACACAACTGCCCATCATCCCAAAGCAGTATGTCATTGGCTGACCACTCCCACACTTTTTCCCCTCAAATCTGGGGGTGGCAAAAAGTGGACGGTGTGAAATGTGCGCTGGCACCACCGGACGCAAGTGATTTTATGAGGACAGTGATGGTTGAGCCTGTCACATATCCTCAGCTCGCAGGCCATAATACGCAAGTGTATAGTGAGACTGTGAGCAGTAAAGCATTGAAAACTTGACTTTTAAGTCATACAAATATTACGATGGCGTTAGAGCGGTCCAGAGACGTATGTTTCACAATAATTTCATTATACGGTTAGAAATTTCATTCATTACATTCATTTTTGTATTCTTCTGATTACAATTAATTTGGGCGTTTAAACCAATTACAAAAGTCATACATATACGTGTCGCACATTAATCACGACAGAAATAAAATATTTTTTATTTAGCCAGGACCATCCTTAGGTGTGAAATAGGTACATAAAATAAATCAATAACTTCATTTCTTGTGACTAGTTATTATTCTACGTCTATACCATCTCTTTTGATTATTTGCAGACAATCTTTAAAATATTTCATCGTTCTAAACTTGAATCATTCATTTATTTCAGCATCTATTCAATAAAAACCATAATGACCGAGAGATAAATAGTTCTTTAAAGATGTAATGGTTAAAATATACCTTTGTGCATTAGGGAGTATCTAAAAACATGTATTCCTGAGACACAAAGGTTGTCCCGAAATGCCTACTACAACCAAACAAAAAGATGTGTTATGCGTAATGAAGGGGGTGATATGATTAGAATACAAACTTTTTTATTAGACAGCGTTCAAAGGATATCTATCTTGCTGTCTCGATCTTTTTCTTCTTATAGTTACACATAGTTCTTTTCAAGTATTCCATAGCAATGAACTTTTTTGTGGAATAGAGGTTTGTAGTCAACTTATACGTGCTTACTATTAAACAGTGAATTGAAAACTTATTTGTACAGCTTATCATAATGTAAATGGACAAAATATTAGCCGGGAAAATTCTACTTACCAACTTGATAGGGAAGATTCGATGTACCTTAATTGCTACCTGAAAACGGTATTAATGACTTGCAAAATTGTGTTACTTACAGGTTGAACTTTGTCTACATAAGCGAACATTTTGTGGTCAAACTTGAAAAGGCAATCAGTAGTACCAGTTGGCGCACTTTCAGGCAAAAGATGTACAGGTTGGTGATGATCTATGGAAGTTAGCATTAAAACAGAACTTACCTCGTGCACACCGAAGAATAAACTCGGAAACAGAAAGTACTTTCTCTTTATTATGAGATAAGGATTTCCAGTGAAAAACATTTGTATTCGGCTGTTGATTAGCATCAAAATAATGAAAAACAGTCAGTATTGTAGTATATTTAAACAAGTGCGCAGAATTTAGTTAATTATAGCAAATCAAGAGCGATGTGAACGTCGAGCTAAGTATAGTAAGAATGTTTAAAAGAACTAACTCGGGTAAAATTCAGTGACAATTCGTGATATTCTTAAATAAACAGAATAGACATTCACGACACTTATATTAAAATATATTGGTATAAATATATAGTGAACTGGAAGCATACAGCCTGTTAATAAACTATCTAATATAGAAACATTGAATGAAACAATTCTGAGATATTTGAACATAAAAATGTCAGACAGAGTCAACCGTCAAGTAAGAGAAATAGATATACCTCTTATATCCAACATTCCATCTTAGCTCTAAGCACTTATTCATACTGTTTAGGCACATTTAAAGACAGACAATATCAGCACAAAATAAGAAACTAATGCACAGTTAAACAATTCATCCAACCCTATATTCATAAATTAAGATAAAAGTACTGAAAGAAAAAAAATAAGGCATGATCAAAAGTAATGGAAAGCCTCAAGAACAATGGGAAATACGACAAATAAAAGGATGTGGTACGACGAACAGAAGGAGCATAATATATGAACACATCTGTCACTGTGATCACTTCTAAACCATTAGCAATATTGGATTCAAATTATGTGGAATAACTGAGGAATAATGGTTGATAGTGATTTGGTGACTTAAGATTAATGAGTGTTTCTCGGTGGATTATGCTAGATTTCTATTAAAGTTTCAGGCATTTCTACACCATACCAAGAAATAAAGATAGCACCAGTAACTGGTAAGTAATCTTATGTGGAGTAATTATTTGAATGTCAACCACTGAAAGGTAGCCATCCGATGACTATGGAAAGTAGGATATCTGAAAAGGTGATTTTACTTAGAAATAGACTACTACCTGAATATGATTATAAAATAAATTGCCACTGTTGCATACTAAGCAGGCTGATTTTAAAGATACCACCTAAAATGCTTTTGTCCTAGTTTAATCTTTCTACTTGTTCAATAAAATTGTTCGCTGTTGCGACCACATCTGAATGAACTGTTTTCTGTAGTGTTTTGAACACATGACAGAAACCATATTCCACATAGTCTCAATTACAATTTCTGGATCGCTAGAAAAAGGCGGTAGCGGGCGTTGCATGCTTCATAAGCTTTTTGAGTGCAACACAAAGTAATAACACGGGTGAGAATGTTAGGTAGTTTTGTTTATTGGTACGACTGAATATTATATCTACACATCCCACCCTCTGAAAATTCGTCAGCATGGCTACGTGGAATCAACTAGGTAACAAAACTTGTTTAGTACACCAGACGACATACACTTGTGGCCCAATATACCGCAGTTATGACTAGTGAAGGTTATTTACTTTGAAATCGGATGTGAACATTGGGGGTTTTGAAACGTATTCCAAGGTGCACCCTCAGTTACTCAGATGTGCTAATGTGAAAACTCAAACTGTTAGCACGGAATACGAAGCTGGAGTAAGAAGGAGATAATGTAATTAATGTGGTAATGGAAGGTTGAACTATGAAAGGAAGAACAATATTTATTGTGAATGAGTTGTCAACACACGTGTGCCAGTTATAGACTTTTATTAGTGATTTACACTGCTGGGGATTATTTCTGGAAATCCAAGAAAATAATTGAACTATTATTAGTGACTTTACCCACCTGAAAGCAATATCAAACAACATAAGATACATGTGGTTGAAATACGTTGCACATTACATTTATGAAGTTTTATTTGGATTTGCATTTACACTGTACCTCAAAATCGTGCACTGCTGTTAACGCAACTACATAGAACACAGGGATATGCATATAATGGTATACGAGCTTGTCTTGTAACCGGAAGGTTCTGGGTTCTGTCTGTCTGTTTTCGACATAGAACTTTGCACAAATGTGCGGAAGTTCAAGTCGCCACATTCCGTGTAGCACGCGAAGCAAGAGAAGAAAGTACAAGAAAAGCATAATAGAGACAGTGAGCAGAGGTGTGAGACAAAGAAGTAATAAAGAAATACAAAACAGTTTCATTGAAGATCATAAGTCACAGGGAGTGGATGCATCTGCGCCACTGAGAACGATTTTGATTCTGGGTTCGAATCCCAGTGGGTGCGTACTGCCGATGATTCCCAAAACTAGGATGAAACAACAGCTGTCCAGTACTCCGTGGTTTTCACTGCTTCTTTAACTAATATCAATCCGTGGTCAAACTCGTAGAAACAAATCTAATTCTTACAAACCAACGCTTGAAAATATCATTTTGATTGAAACAGAAAGTGACACTACTTAGTTACTGTCATGTACTAAAAATGTTACGGACAATACACCTTGTACAACCAGTAGTCAGGATTCGCAGTTGAAACCCGTTATTTTATTGTAACTAAGCTGTTAAATGAGGGGAGTTCCTTACAAGGAAACATTCATTCGCATTCTGCTATGAAAGTCAGAAGAGTTGCAGCAGAAACAGAAAAAAGTGGACACACGAAATTCCTTTTAAACTGTCATTTAAAGACTCATTCTTCCAGTTGTTAAAATAACTGAAGATCCTGAGCACTTAAATGACTAAGTGCCTACTAATAAGAATACCAAACCCCTTTCAACAGGACAAAAAAGAGAATAAAATTTACAAAAATCACAGTTGATGAGCTTATCGATTACTCCACGAATAAATGCGTGCTAATGCATTTAGTCACATTTACATTACAGGGTTGTTGTCATCTGGCATCCCAGAACTTGGCGAGTGGAATTCGAACCCTGGATCAGCAGTTTAAAATTGAAGGTGTGATACAGTGGGGTCAATTTAGTTGGTTCCTACTGGTAATCATCAAGATTGAGTCCGGTGATATCTTCCCTAACCATATTTTGGGCTAATATCCAGCAGGGTTATATCGATGAAAATCAAACATAACATGAGAAACGCTAATATGCCACCCAAACTCCGATATCATCAGGTCATTGAATTAGAAGGATAATTAAATTAACTACCAACTATACTTCCACATACAGTTGTTATGAATAACATTGAAGGGTAGTCATAAATGTTAACATAGCGAAATAAAAGTAGGAATTATGAAACTCACTGTGATGCAATCTTCCGAAAGACATAATACTAAGTGGTCAAATAACGATACATGGTTGGACACGAGAGGCATGCACGTATTGTGGTCCGTACGAAATCCATCATCGATAGATACTGCAAATCCCAGCACAGTGCACATAGAGCGCAATACAAGCCTGCAGACAACAGTGATTTATTACTCAGACACTAACCTTCGTAGAAATTCGAACTGTGATAAGACCCAGGAAGCTAAGAAAGCATGTGCGAAAATCACCAGACGTAGAATTATGAGTACTAGCCCCAGGGGTGTATAGGGTATTATAAATAATCCTTGTGGAAATAAAATTCTGAAAAACTATAATAAAGACGTTCTCTACCTCATATCAATCTGGTTAGTTAACTGAAAACAACACGATATCGCTGAATTTCCCAAATATCTCGACTGTTGTACGATTATTGAGACACTGGTCTTCGCTCAGTTGAAATCAAGAATTAAACTTCCTAATAATCTACGCGTATATTAGAGAAACACAATTGCGATCTTCGCTTAAAACCTGAAAAATAAAAAAGACTAATTAGGATATTTACTCCTAATATTACTGATACAACTAACGCAGAAGACATGAAGAGGTCTATAAAACAAATATTTCATGTAACATTGTATCGTAAGTGCATGCCTAGTCTGCTTCAGTAAGTATTTTATGAAAAAAATAGTTACAACTTAGGAAACTCTGGTTATAAAAAGTTTATACCAATCTGCATCCACCCCCTCTCACGTTGTGCTTTCGTAGGGTGACTTTGCTGGATTCTAAGTGCTTTGTTCGAACTTGAGCAACTATGATCACTAAGATATGCGTTCAGATGTTTTCTTCTTCCTGATCTCAATGAATAAGGAACGTTGAACATGCATCTTTACTTACAAAGATAATCAACGGTTTTTTCATTGTCGGTACACATATACTCAGCACACTATTTTAAAAGTAATGAAATATTCCTCATGTTCTAAAAAATAACTAAAGAAAACTACTCTTTGATAACGTTGAATAAATCCTAGATTTCAATATAAAGAGACCTTAAGCCCGTTCTTCAGGTTTGGTGATTAAATAACCACAACTAATCGTGTGGGATTGGCACTCTACAGTCTTAACCACATCCCAAACCTTTTAGGCTCTAAAGCTACAGTTCTTGGATTTTCAGTCAGCGAACCCTGGAAGTGCACTTAAAAACGCACTAAATTTGATATGATTGCGACTTTCCAACTTATCTCATACAATGTTGTATTCAGATAACCATATATGAATGTTACAGAAAACAGTTTTCGGTACGTGGGATAGTGCGAACCGTAATTCCTTATTAAGCACCAATATTGATCCTGTTAACTGAGATTTGCAAGGTGACTTAATTTGATTCACTCTTCATGAACCAGCCACTGAAAACCTCAGGATGGATACAGGAAGCTCATTTGGGGTTCGCAGACCTGAGTTAACTTTGGATTAGCAGTGATATACAGCTACCCATTAAAAAGGGTGTGTATAATGTGCAGGAATTTGCTCCAATTTCTTCCACGAGCACTCTAGGTGAATGGAAAGAAAGCACCAACGGTTGTCAATCACAGAGTCACGGACTATTGGTAAAGGTTTTAAAATGACAGTCGACTCTCATGATTGGAAAGCATAAGTGATATGAAACTATTTGCAACACAACACTAAAACGCTTACAGTAGTGCAGATGAATTCACTAATTCTGGAAATCTTCACGTACGCTGCAGGAATTGCTTAGACAAGTGCTGACAAAAGTCTTCAGTATACTTCAGCAAGTCTAAATCTCAGGGAGCGATTTATTATTGCGAAAGAATTTTCGAGTTCCGAGAGAAAGTCAATCTAATTATACCACTGCGTTTCAAGCCCAAATATAAATTTCTGGGGCAATCTAGCGGCAGCTGAATGCAGAATTCTCGAAGGAATCCCTCGTCTTTTCCCCTAAAAACCCCAAATTTCCCCCATAAAATACTCAAATTGCCCCAAATATTCATAACTGATTGAGCATGAATATGTGTATATATAGGCAAATGCATGCATTGTTACTCGATTTTATGGAAGTTTTGAACAATTTGATCATAATGAGCATGACTGAAACAGAAAAACTAGTCCATTAGATCACTTATAAGCATTACTATACGACTTCGCATTATGCGTCGGTGGTATAGCGGTTAGGATGCTCGCCGACCATGCACATGGTCCGGGGTTCGATCCCCGGCCGGCGCACACCTTTACCTCTCTAAGCCAGAAATAATTCTGGTAGAGAGCAAAGGTTGGGCATGAGGCTAGCAACCCCATCCTGTAAAACAAACTCTACTACAGAAACTTCAAGCTACTATCTCGAAGCCCTATGTTCCACTGGGGAACGTGAAGGAAAAATTATTTTATTATTATTATTCGCATTATGCGCATAAGACGAAATGGATTGAGTCAATCCAGACTATGGAAAATAGATTATCACTAAATCCCTGACATTTGTCATCATTAAATAACGTGTTTTAAGGAGAATAAATCACATAAATTCATACATACTAGATGACCAAAACAACTAGTAAGGTAATACTTAGAAGTCAGCTTACGACAACCTGTCACAACAGTGACCTAGAGAAACACTTTAGATAGCGATTGACCCCTTCATTATGACGATTTAAACAAACACACTGAATTAATGAATGAAGTATGATAATCTAAAAATACACCTACATCCACATCCGAAATGTCAAAGCGTATAAAATTTTGAGTCTCCACTTCGAATGTCGTCAGTCTTACATATAAAGTCCAGAGTAACAAATTCTGACTTCATAGAAAAGTTACGTTTTAGTTCTGTATATACTGAAATTCCTTCTGCTGGCATTGCATCCTAAGGGAGGAGATATTATTCTTCGTGTGACCTGCCATGAACCTACGAAGATTATTTTATAGGGCAATATCAAACTTCTTTTGAAATGATTTCTATCTACTATTACGCATCACTTGAGTAGAGACCACATGCCAGATGTAGGCGACCTCTACTTACAGAAAATGGCACGTGTATGTGGTATCCCCTCTTTTTCACTGTATTCGTTTATATTAAGATTACAAGAGAAGTTTAAGAGATTTAAATGTAGGGCGAATTTAAGGTAACGAAATGAAATATCTCTGACCACAAAGCTTGGTGTACTTTTGGTGTTCCTATAAATGTTAGATAACTGCAGTTCGAGTCCAGAGCATCTGCGGATCACTTAAGCTAACGTAATTATACTGGCGAAGTCTGCAAGACCTTTGTATCAGTTTTTGTCATTAGACACTATATCCCTTTTATGGTTCTCTTCATCTAAAGTGTGGGGGATCAAATAATTTCACCGAATCAATTGAACCTCATCTTGCCAACCTCTAACGACCGATTCGCTTATCTATGCGGATTAAAAAAGCATGGCGGATAGTTCCATTTTCAGTTGACAGGAGCGTGGAGACTGATTTGTGGTGTGATCGCATATCTGTATATTCTCCGCATATCATCGTCGATAAATACACCATCGAGCAGCCGGGAGTGTCATATTCTCCCCTTACTATCTGTCAAGAAAAGCCTTGCCATCAGGCTAGGTGTATCAGGCTCAAGAGTCGGGAAATAGTGTGGTCGAAGATTAGCTCTTGTAGGAAAAATGGCTGCGTCGTTCTCCAGTAAGCCAACAACATCTTCCCAGTATTGAGGAAGAGACCTCACGAGGAGGGAGTGAGGAAAATGATAGCACTAAAGACCCACCAGTAATCGAAGGTACTCTTAATAATAATAATAATAATAATAATAATGTATATTCTCATATAAACATATAAATTTACATGAAAATGCATGCCATTTTTACAGGCACGATCAAGTATGATATAATATCAAATCGTAGATTGTCTACAAGTTAATAATGTGTCAACAGTTAAATATTTGATATATAAATAAATACACATTGTCTGAACTAGGCTGTATAGTTATTGAATTGTACAGTTGTCCTCCAGGTTGAGCGGGAAAATCGACTTCGTTTCGTTTTCATCCCGTGGTTGTAGGCATACGATAACCAACCAATATTGAGGTAAGTACAACTTCTACAAGGGATTGAAAGCTGTTTTAGAAAAGTAAAAGTGCTAAGGTGAATCATTAAAGTGTAATGAAATAGGTAAGTGCAAGCATCATTAATAAATGCATTAAAAAAAGGAAACTCCCTAGGCTGACAACGTTCATTTGCAATGTATAATGCAACACATATACCTCGTACTATCATGATGTCCAATTTTGGTTTTAATACATTTATCCTCAGTTGTGCCAGTTGTTTTTGTTTTATACCTTTTTGTGCATTTAATGTACAACCGTACCCTTCAGAGAGTAGGAATATAATAAGTCATAAAGAGCTGTAAAATGTTAGGTTTAATGGAATATAATGAGGATCAAGTAAAGACGTTATTGGAAAATGAATGAGATAAGACATTGTGAAGTGGTATTTAAAGATCAGTCAATGGACAGCAAGTTAGTTTATAAGATGCCCCATAAAACTGTGCACATCCCACATGGTCGCATCTCAACAATAGGCTGGGCGAATAGTATATATTTAGAGGTAGAAGCATGATCTGTCAAGGCGTTCATTATTATCTTTTTCAAGATAAAGATCTAAGCCCTCATAAAAATCAGAAATATCTCGAGCCTTTAATTTGTGTATTGCTGTTCCTGCAGAATGGGGTGATTCACCTTAGTGACCCCCACCATATCTACTGATCAGCATGACCGATGAAGGTCCCAATGAATCGCAAAGTCTCCGGAGAAGAATGTGAGCCTCAGGCTTGTTGTGTATGTGCTATAAAAACCAAAAGATGTCTTTTAATGCCGAATGCTATTCAATGCCAAAGAATGACTTCATTTTCAGTGGTCATATCTTCATAAATATCTTATTTTTTTATTTGAGTGGATCACTAGTTGATGATGCCTGTCGCCCACTCCTATTGAGTTATTGCAATATGTTCGTATGCATTTTGGAATAACTTCCAAGGTACATATATTTCTAACATTCAGTGACGGTTACTTTTTAGTATGCCATTTGCCAATGCTTAAATAGATGATTTACTCTTCACGAATACATCAGACGCTGAACAGCTACAGAGTGGGCGTATAGTTTTCTAACGACTAAGACGGTATAATGTGACTTAAGCTAAAGGAGTACAGATGGCATAAAGAGTCACATTGGTTTTGAAGGCAGATGATAATTAGATAGTATCGAGAAAGTTAGATAATACTATTTCAGCTTCTTTTAATCGTACACATCTCTGGTTGCAATGAATTACAATCGCCATTCTATTTTCCACTGTGCACAGAACACTTGTTGTGAAGGGGAATTGATGGTCTGAAAATTCCTTCCGAGCTATCTATCCACCGTACTGATGTTAAGTGTCACTGCTAAATCCACAATTAATATTCTTTCTGACTTGTTTCGCATCGATGTGACACTTGCCTGTCTTATTTTGTCTCTATCCTAGCGATGCGTTTCCTATTCAGTCTCATTGCTTAATGCTTTTTTGTGTTATTGTTTGGTGCTTGACTGTCGTCTGCGTGGCTTTTTTATTATTGCGACTTCATTGTATTCATAAATGATATTGTCTCTATCATCAAGTATGGCAAGCCGTACCTTTTGGCAGATAAATTCAAAGCTGTCTATGATTTCGACTATAATGATATGAATATTGCTAGTAAAATCCAACAAGACCTAAATAGTCTATGCAATTGGAGTGAAAAGTGGCAGTTAACGTTCAATCCAGCTAAATCTGGGATAACATACTGTCAGTCTCGTCTCATAAACCGTTAATGCCCAGCTCTCGCTACGCTCGGGCCCACGCTGTTCCTTTGAGTTTCAGAAACGCTTAGTAATAACGGACGCAAAAACCAAAACACCGATCTGCTGCTTGTTATTTCTTTATTGTTACACCAACATATAAAAGGAATAAACGAACTAAGGTTTCTGACGATGTTTCACTCTTCTTTCTGAACAGCGACCGATGAGACGATGATTGTCGTATTGATGCCACCAAAACACCGATCTGCCACTTGAGATTTCTTTATTGTAACACCAACATATAAAAAATATTTCTACTAAGGTCTGTGAACAAATATTACAATAATAAATCACAAGATTACTTCTGATGGTTTTCTACTGACTTCTTTCTGAACAGCGACCGATGAGACGATGACTGTCGTATTGATGCCTCCGCGAAAATTGGGGAAGTTGATTTTGAGCAAACAACCAAGAATTGATCGTTCAATCTTCAACTCCATTGACACTCCCCGGCAAAAAAGGGATCCAACCCTTTTTTCCTTCACGACCAATGCACGTTGACTTGGATGCCATTGCGAGAACCTGGGTCACACGGACAGAGCTGAAATGGAAAACAAACAGAAAAGCCAACACACCACAAGCATACCCACAGCACAATCTCACACATCGCTGACGACCTGCGCCTCCAGACAGAGACCTCCTCTTGACATCTTGCAACACAATCGCCACTTGCTAGAATGACTCTTGCAGAATGCAACGTGACCATAGCACCAACTCATGATACTCTACGCACATCCTCTTATCTACTCACTACCAATTACCACTGAAATCGCTTGTCACTCATTCTGCCTCAGTTCTAGTAGCGGTGACGCATGCGAGCCTCAGTCGTTTACACTCTTTCTCCCCGGCGTGTCGGACCGCAGCTAACAATTATCTCCGTGTGCATTTCATTCTCAGCAATAGCCTCCCCGGCGTATACGACCCATCTGCTGTCTCTAACATCAATCAATTCATTCACGGATGTAGAAGACTCGAAACAACTTCAGAAGTAATCACGACGAAAATTTTAACAAAATTATGCAATAAAAACAAGGCACGAAAACAACGAGTAAACACAATGAATCCAAAATCACAAATTGCGAAGACACACCACACGTATACACAAACAGTACAAATAACCTCGCGGATCATGTCTTGGTGGAATTCCTTTGAAGAATTGCAGGACTTACACCAGTACGCCTACAACCCTTCACAGGTTGACGATTGTAAGTTGTGGAATGTCCAGACACAAACAAGAT